TAGAAAGATTAAGTTGAAGGGAGTATAATTTCATAGGGGCTTGATGCAGAAATTGAGGGAGGTTCTGTGCCCTTTGTTATGCAGGAAGACAGGCTAGATTACCAGAATGGTCCCATCTGGGTTTTAAAATATATGCTTCAATCCAATTGACACATTGTATCCATACGTAATGCTGGGTTACATATGGTCAAAAGAATACTTATTAGAAGAAAGGCCTCTTCATGTGGAATTTTCTGCTAAACTCCCTCCAGATTGCCTGTCTTGGGAAACTATTCGTGCACCATGTGTTATGAGTTCCTTCCTTCTAGCTTGGTTTTTATAAGGGCACCCATCACCCTAGTATTAAGCACTGTGACTGAACAGTGGATAGAGGTAGCCATACAGTCTCTTCTATCCCCTTTTGGCTCTTTTACTTGCAGTACCATCTTCTCGTGTTTTTCCACGGAATGGAGACCTCAAATGTGTCCCACAACAGTTTTTTAAAAGGCAGCAATTCCTTGAAAGCCAGAGCTATCACTTACATCTGAAAATAGCAGTGAATTATATTTTGGCACAGGCACACCAAATGTTATCTAGATTTCACAAAGTTGGAAACAGAGAGGCCCATGCTCCCTTGCTAATAGAGTAAAGGGTAGAGTAATTAGTCAATGCTCATGTGTTTTCTTTTTTCTTAAGCCTTGTCTTGGAGCAGACTGAGGTGTTTATATGGTTAGCTCAGTGTACGGTGGGGACTTTTAGGGCAGCAGGATGCATACACCCGTCTAGTGCACTGTCTGGTAGTACAGTCACACCTCAGCTTGCCATCCATCAACTCTTAGGGTACGGCTAGACTGAGAGGATCTATCGGAAAAAGAGACACAAAATGTGTTCTGCATTTGTCGGAAGAGGCTTTTCTGAAATTTGGCCCATCTAGACCAGGCCAAATTTCAGAAAAAACCCTCTTTCAAAAGCTCCCTTCTTCCTTGTGGAACAAGGAATACAGGGGCTTCCAACAGAGCGCGTTTGCTCTTCTGCAAAAAAGTGGAAGAGCAAACGAATTCTCTGGACGCGGATCCCTACGGTGTAGCTGTGCAACTCCCCCCCTTCCCTCTGCAGTCTAGCCATACCCTATGTCTAGACAAGCCCTTATTTGTTGTTGCAGGCATAGTGTGGCTTCCCTTCTGTGCTACCCAATCCTCTAGTAACAGGGCTAGCTGTTTTAGGATTAGATTTCCACTGCTGTCTAGGGGATTTAGATGCCCATTTCCCATTTTAATAGATAGCAGGCATCCAAATCCCCCTACCAGCAAACTCCTATACTTGGGAGTAACTGACATTACAAAATATTTAACTACTGCTCATCACAATTTGCTTAATATGATGAGTAAAACCCTGGCTCTGTTGAGGCTAATTTCAAAACTCCCTTTGACTTTAATGGAATCAGAAGATTTTCACACCATTTCTTTCCTTAGCTGTGTTGTGTTACTGTGAGCAATTCTTACCTCTATCAGGTACTTGCACTGAGCACTCCTCTCTGTAACTGGAATTTACCAAAATTAGGAAGCAGGTGGGTTCCTTAATGTAATGGTTTTATACTGTCAGGAGAGAGGGGCAGGAGCAGTTTCACCTATCAGAATTCTTCAACGGCAATAGTGTGACCCTCCCGCTTCATGTGGGAGCAGTCGAGGGCCCTCATTCAGCACATGCCTAACTTTATACACAGGCGTAACCCACTGACATCAATTGTGCTGACATACTTTTCTGAATCAAGACCTTGGTTGGGAAGAGGTAGTAGTTTGATTCTTTCTCTGCCTTTTCTCGTGCATATTATTGCCAAAGTAACTTAGATAAAAAAAAATTTTCAGACGTGATCTTCTTTTTCCTGCAAACATTCAATATTTGTTTGATAAAATAAACAGCCCAGATTTTCAAAACTGAATTGTATTATTGAATGCATCAGTTACTGGGTAGCTAATATGAGACACTGTAAATGTAGATGATCCTCACATCTGTAAATAAGGCAAAAGAATTGCATTTGTTTTGGCAATGGCTGTTGGGTTTAGACGCTATTAATGCAATTAAAGGAATGTGTCCCCCCCCAGCGATATACTATCCATCTCTCCAGACACTCTATCAGGGTCTGTCTGCACTACAAAGTTAATTCGAACTAACGGACGTTAGTTCGAATTAACTTTGATAGGCGCTACACTAGCGCTCCGCTAGTTTGAAATTAATTCGAACTAGCGGAGCGCTTAGTTCGAACTAGGTAAACCTCATTCCACGAGGACTAAGCCTAGTTCGAACTTAATAGTTGGAATTAAGGGCTGTGTAGCCCCTTAATTCGAACTAGTGGGAGGCTAGCCCTCCCCAGCTTTCCCTGGTGGCCACTCTGGCCAACACCAGGGAAACTCTATGCCTCAAAGGGGCACGGGCTGGCTACGGTGCCCATGCCAGGTGCAAGCCTGCCAGCACCCAGCCAGCAGACCCTGCACCTGGCACGGCACGAGCCAGCCAT